GTCTAGGCGCGTCTAGCCTAAAGAGGGCCTACTTGGCAATCACGTATTCAATCAATTATTCAATCAATCACTCACTCAATATTTAGTTAATTAGTTTAACTAATTACTGATACCGACGTCGGGCCAACAGAGTTAAATGCTGTAAGAATCACAATTTACTGCCATGATTACAGCATACACGCAAAGATCGTACGCGGCGGATACCTTACGCGGCGATATTTACACGATCTTTTGTTACTTTTTCGCCAGTGACGTCATGGTAAAATCGTATATAATCGCCTATAACTTCATTTAAAAAATAAAAAAGCCAAAAAACGATTTTAAGGTTAATTCTATTATTGATGGCATATCAAAAATCCTCTCTAGAACAAAACATCATTTTGCTAGTTCTCTTTTAACGAATCATTCTGTCACTGCAAAAGACTTTACAAGTGTGGGAGATGCATACTTTCCTCCACTCCACGGGAGAAACAATCATACCCTACTAGCAGCAGACGAGTTACAAATGACGCGGACCAATTTTATCCAAGCGGGACCGGTTTTAGCGGCTAAAATCAATCCGGAGGATCGATTTAATAGTCCGGCCGGACCGATTTTGGCCCGGACCAATTTTGGCATGACAGGCCTATTCCTTGTTTTGAATCAAAATGTTCATGCATATGTAAAAGTGTACAAATTAATTTGACTACACCCTCCTCCCTAGCATATATTGTACACTTAGTAACAGGGCCGGCTGAACGTTTTCCAAAGTGGGGGAGGGGGTGGGGGTGGCCCACTATTAAAATGAATGGGAATATAAAGAAATTTACATTATATTTACAGGCATTAGTCCTAAGCCTATATATATTCTTCCAAAAAGTAGGGGCCTGCCCCCCCCCCGGTTCTGCTGACCATTAGTAAATCTGCTGAAAATTGTGAACGGCCCCTGTTAAAAACCCTGTATTGTAAAAACGAATACGATAACGAAGTACAGTAGGCCTATATGCTACGTTAGTTAGTTTATGACTTTTCTGAGCTCTTGATTGTCAATTTTAAATGTTATACTGATTGAAGCGAATTGAAATAAAGGTGTATGCCTAAAACAAACAAAAAATGTAGTTATTTGATTACTAATCATAATGATGGATAAAAAAAAATATCTGCTACTATGCTACTATGGATGTTACATACAATGAATGAAAGATAATATGTAAAATATTTTCAATTATTTATAATTTATTATTTATTATTTTTGTTAAATTATATTATTAAAATGCATTATTGTTAGTTATTATTGTTGTTTTTGTAATATTGTTATTATCACTTATATAAATTATTTTTTATTAATTATTATCGTTGTTATTATTATATGTCTAATTATTTATTATTACCAGTATCATCGTTTTCGTCATAATTATTATAATTACTGTAGGCCTATAGTAAATTATTATTATCGTCATCATCATTTTATTATAATGAATACGGTAATGTATATGACTATTATTTAGCACCCTCTCCCACCTTGTTGAGTGCCAAATTCCACGTTTCTGAAACTGCGATCCAGCTGCTTTTTTCACCATGATATATCCCTCATTGTGTTCGTATAGAATTTTAGGCCTGTTTTGATGTTAAAAATAATGTTACTAACTATCACACACAAGACTAGCAGCCGGCATTGTCTCACATAGGCCAGCAGTATTCAAGAGATTGACACCTAGATATACGGTTCAGCAATATCAGTTTTATAGGCCACGTGTGAAAACTCAATCTACCGCGTCAAATATACCGTCCGCGAACGAAATAATTGTAATATGAAAACCCGAATGATCACGGTTACCCATTCATCCATCACTTATTAAGTATTCATACGATGACAATATTCATTAAATCGATATGCCTGATATTAGGCTCACACTAGACGTGCTGACAAATGCATTGTTTTTCTCACTCTCCTTTTGGGTCTCTTCTCCTTGTCATTTTTTAATATGCATAATGTATTATGTTAATCGTATCCTTTGCGTAAGTTCGTTGCATTACATTAGATTATCGCTGTCGACTGAACGAAAAGGCCTCAGGCCCCTGGCCGGCTCCTTCAAAACCTACTACCCAGGGCCGCGGATCCGGTTAAAGAACCCATTGAGCGGGGAGCCGCTGGACAAACCTCTCGCTTCGGAGTTTTTTTTTCTGCTTCTTAAAAGGCCTCTCTGCCAATACAGGCATAGCCTATTGCAAAATAAAAAATGCTCATGAATACTCCGGGGCCAGTTGCGCTGCCTTTAGCCAGTGAGAGCTCATAGCCGTTACGCCACAGTTCACCGTTATTCATCAGTAAAGATAGACAAAATCATTATCATATTGATTAAGAAGGAAAAATGAATATTAGTACATTGTTGTTGAACATTTTTATAGACAAAATATTGATGATTAAAACAAGAGTGCATTTCTCTTTTACAGTGAAATTCATTCATTTATTATTATTATTATTATTATTATTATTATTATTATCTAATATAGTGTATGAATTTTAACACAAGTATAAACAGCGCAACATGTAAATTTCACAAAATGACACTCAATTTTCTAAATTCCTATACAATTTTAAACCAGGCACGGCTTGATTTTGATAGTCGTTTTAAAATCATTTTCTTAGTAGCTTCTCGGCGTATCTTGAAATTTCTTCACGAGACTCAGGTTAGCGATATTTGTTCCGCTTGTCTGAACTTAACTGATAGGTTAATTCACCACCCATAGACATACGTCATCTCATTGAGTCACATTTGCTCTCGAAAAGTTTCTACACGGGCCCCTGATTGGTTAGTTCAGTTTCTGATATCAGTTTCTTAGTTTCTTTGACTGTTAGCATTCTTGTTGGCAAGATCACTGTCTGTCGATATCATCCGTCTATTTAGAACGAATTTTTTCTAGTTTCTTAAGATTCTTCTTCAGCGTATTGCCCCGACTGAACAATTCCCCGGGGACGAATGAGTCAAGCACTGAGGTTGGTACCTTTCCACTGAAATCTAAGTGCTCAATCTGTTTGATTTCCAGAATCTTTTTACCCCTAAAGAAAAAGAAAGTGAATTATTTTGTTATAATATACATGTAGACGACGAAAAAAATTATTATATGCCTTGATGGTGCTTAAGCAGCGTTAGTAAATAATAATTGAGCTAAAGCATAAGAAGTTGGCACTAGGATTTGTTGGAGAAGGGATTTAGATACATTAAAAATGGTGAATCGTGACTTCCATTTTACTACCATAATCAGTACCATTTGGACTTTCAAAAACAAAGTGATATATTGTCTCATATGCATATTTTTTATGCAAAGCCGATTTTGTAATAATTGTTTTACGTTTTAAATAATGAAAACCAGTCGAGGACATACTGTACCCTTACCCTTGTTCGATCACATTAATCAGACTGCCACTAGGGTAGTGTTTGCTGCGAACTATTTTCGGATCAACTGGGGCATCATATTTTGCCTCGCACACTACAAAAGCAACTTTATTTTCGTTGTCTGCAAACCGTTTGATATACAGAATATCTATGAACTCTCTGCTCGATATCAGTCCCATGGCAAGTGAGTTGGACACGCTCTTCAGGATTTTGATGTCCTGGTTAGATAAAACAAAAAAGGTAACAATGTAGTTGTAATTAAAATATGATTCATCTAATTTTGGTGGATCGGTTGCAAACACTGCCAATCGTGAAGTAGATAACTCAGAATGTTCTATTTTAAACAGGCATTGGAATATGATTGCATGATGACGTAAAAAATCTTAACTGGCATTTTAAGAAATAGAAACCTATTTTCATAGGCCTACTATACAGTATGCGTGCTAGGTATACGTACGTCAGATACTTCCAAGAGACACTGGACAGCCTTAACAATACTATCGACGTCTTCGATATATCCTCCGAAGCACTTCGGGCTGACGAGGGCCAGATAGTCGGACAGCGACATTTCAACTGTGTATTCGCATTTATACCTGAGGAAAAGTATTAAACGTGGTTACACTATGTCACAGCATGTTGTTACACGTGCACGCGTAGGCCTACATAAACTCCTATAGCTTGGTTCACACTAGACCCTTATAATAGTAGAACGCTCCAAATGCAGAAACTACCGAGAACAAACACTTTATAAATCAAATCAAATAAATCTTTATTGCAATCATAAAACAATAGTAGTGATTGGAATATACAAAAAACTTTACTTTAGTGAACTCGCATGCAGCGAATTTTAATACATGCTTGTCGAAAATGAAATTACGTATATTTTGTATACAGATTTTTTTTTTTTGTCGACTGTAAGGTTCACTCTGTTGTTTACAATTCCAAATGAGTGATCAAAATTACAGTTATCACCGCTACCATACTTTTTTGGACTTTAAACTGGGTGGGTATAGATATCGTGAACCCATTATCAGGTATATACAGTTATGAGCCAGACGCATAGACAGCCGAAGTGGTTTATCACAACGCACAACGCGACACGGACGGCGCATCGCACGACAGATAGCTGTTTCCCAACGACGATTCGCTATCACGGAATGTCGTTGAGTTGATGAGCAGCGCTCACACGAAGCCGGGATGTGCTCTAGACCTGCACTTATTCCATTCGTAATCAATCAATTAACCAATTAGTCAGACAGCCAATCAACTAATCAGTGAACCAAGTAATCGAATTTTAAAGTATTGTTTCAATCAATCAAAGCTATAACCTGATGCTACCACCACTGAGCCATGCGATAGTGTTGAGCAGTGGCGTATCTATGGGAATGCGCGGGGAGGGGGCCATACCCACCCGGTCGCCACCCCTCCTCCCCCCCCCCCACAAAAAATTCACTTCAAGGTAGTTAAAAATCACCTAAAATCACCTCATTTTGCGAGTTAGCGCCCTTCAACTGATCATCGAGCCCCCCCACCTTTTACCTTCGCGCACCCATCAGCACCCCATTTTCAAGACTTCTAGATGCGCCACTGAGTAATTTACCCGTTGAGAGTACTTACGCATAACCATTGAAAAGTTCAGACTTCATGCGATATACTTTGTGGTCTTTCTGCAAATACACAAAATGATAAAGTTATGTATTTCGAACTAGTTCACTGGAAAAAAATATGAATACTATCGTCCTTAATATTATTTTGCTGTTTTAACTACTCTTTAATCTTTAATCCTATTTTAAATGGAGAGTACCAGTAACTGTTACTTGAAATCTGCGAAAACATTACGTCGGCGAAGGTCAATGGAGATGTACTTGTCTGGTTCCAATAAATCAAGCTACTTTTCCTTGAAGATGGGTTATAAAGTACCTTCTACTTGAAGACGTTTAAGCCAACAAATAATATACTCTTTGGAAGCTGGGGATTGTTTGGCAGTCAACTTCACTTCCAAGCTCAACAACAAGCTGCACAAATTCCATGGTTATTAAAGTTGCATAAACTTAAGTTACTTTTTACGTAGACAAACGGGTGTACTCAAATAGACAGGCACTGTACACTACAGACAGAGAAACACGTATATACTGTATTTTATTGAACACCGGTGTTATTGAAGTGGCCAGTAGAGAGGATGTACTAACGATAATCGGATTCGTAACTATTTTAAGAGGGGCATATTGCGGTCTCAGCAGCTGTACTAAACTAATCAAGAAAATTGGTGGCACATCAAATTTAACAATTGCAGTGGCGGGTCAGGGAATTCGAAATAGAATGGGGCCAAAGGGAGATTTTCTGGCGGATGAAGACCACCATGGATGGGGCTGAGGTAAGAAAATTTATGATTATAGCACCTTTAGATGGCCGGAAATGGTACTCTCAGTATTTTAATATATATGTTTTCCCATTTCTTCTAATTTTGAATATACCACTAATTTGAAATAAACACAGTTATCACTACTCCTCTAAAAACCGATTGTTATTGAGGGGCCCATTGGCCGTTTTTTATCTTCAAAATGTTAAGTTGGAAATTATTTTAAATGATTATTTTTAGGTCTATTTAATATGGATGGGCCCTTAATAGCCATGGGCCCCAGTGCATTGCACTGGCTGCACTGCCCGTAGCTACGCCACTGATTGATGCCCTCATCAGCAATCCTACCTTCCACCAGTTTGCTAAGCGAAAATTATGTTGTAGTTAGTACTCCCATTTATAGTTACCAACCGTCTCGCATCGTACGGAACGGTCCCACATGCATGATCATAAATTTTTGATGATGATGAACGAATTTTATCACGAGTTCAGTGGAAAATATATTTAAAATTAGAAGAAACTGGTTTTATTAAATACATTAACGGTCATTCAGTAACTTAAGTCATTAGAGAGTTTTCGTAATTATTTCCATCGAGAATCAATCCACCGAGAACATTTCTCTTTCTCGAACAGTACAACCCAGTTAACTACGCATTTAGTATCATCTTAGATTATGTGACTGAAGGGCCCAGACCCCCACCAGGGCCCCGCCTCAATGGGAGCCGGCGGGGGCCTTGGCGTGGTGGCCCGCTGGTGTAGTCACGCATTTCAAATCGCTCAGGTTGGTAACTATGCCCATTGCCGCAATATTATGGAATACTGTATGTCGAGTGACGATTTTTAGACGTAGGCCTACTTACAGAACTCTTTATCTCCTTTCCCCAGTCTCTTTCTATCATTTTCACGAGCTCCTCATAGGCATGCTCGGCTTCAGCCTTGTAGTCCATGTTGACGTTGGTGTACCGCCTAATCCTATGTTCAAGAATGCATACCTACACTACGACCACCACCATAATGATGTTTACAGTAGGCCCCTGATAATTTGTCACGTGAAAAATAGATAGGACTTTCTTTGACTGACTTAGATACTGTCAGGCAGTGGCTCATAGATAAGAATTATTAATGTCCATAGTCTATTTACCAATATGATAACCTATTCATGGTCAGTCAGGTTAGTCCAATGTTCCAATAGGCAACAGTGCGTTACCTTTTCTTTAGAGCACGAAGCTTAACACACACAGTGCACCATTGCTTGTTACACGTACACTACACATATCCATAACCACCAACCCTTAGGCCTATACACCATTGCTTGCCCCTTTCAACAACGAATTGTCACCCCACTATACACTTTTTGTCACTGTCATCCGTGCACCATTTGGCAGCAGTGCCGTATCTAGGGGAGGGCTCGCCTAAAATCACCATATTTTGCGAATTAGCGCCCATCAACTGATCATCGAGCCCCCCTCCCCCCTCACTTCACCTTC